AAGATAGGCAGGGTTGACAATCCCCATGAACTAACTACAATAAACATGAATTACCCAAAACTTCCCAAGAGCAGGATAAAAAGCAAAGCTTTTGTTCAGTCTGGCAACAGACATTTTGGAAGGTAGGCTGCCATCCTATGGCAGACAAGATGAAACTATCAAAGCCTGAATTCTGAGGACCTAGTGCCAGCTCTTCAAGGAGTCTAGTTTGTGTGGCCACTGCCTATCCTTGTCATGGTTTACTTCTGGTCACAAAAACATCACCAAACTTCTAAATAAAGACCCAAAATACTTCTAATAGTAAACATTGGGGGAAAAGAAAACAAAACATGAGGTATACATACAGGTAAGAAAGATTAATAAAAACAAGTAAGATAAGTATTTCTCAACCTGCTTTCTACAGCTCAGGGTCGCCAGGGCCTCTCCTGGCAGCCTAGGGCACCAGGCAGGACCCAGCACAGGATGCCCTTCCACTGCAGGGCACACTCACACCCAACCAGACAGGGACAATTTAGACACGTCAATTCACCTCGTGTGCACATCTTTGGGACATGGGAGGAGACCGGACTCCCTGGAGAAAACCCACGCAGACGTGGGGTGACTATACAAACTCCACACAGACAGCAGTCCCAGCCGGGAATCAAAAATTTTTTTCTAATCAACATTATAATGAAACAATGCTGAACAAGAGGACATTATTCAAGGACCTGCCGTGCTTCTTTGCATTCAGCCTTTTATCTAGAGAAGCGAATGTGCCTAAACTCAAAGTCAGGGAAGATCATGGGGTGGAAAGAGGTCCTTCATCCAAACATGCCCTTTTCTCTGGTACTTTTTTCCCAGGACAGCTATTAGCAACAGGACTTCCAACATCTCAGAAGTTACCTCCCTAGAAAAAGAATGAAAAGGTACCTCTCCATGACAGAATCTGATGTGTGATGGGGAATGTGGGTTGAAATGGTGGTTCATCCTGCCCTTGGTTGCTCTACCTGGAACATTACTTGACACTGCTCTGTAAAGCAAAATTTAAAGTCCCAGATCAGATCTGATTTAAAGTCCCAGATTGGACTCTGCAGAAGTGGATCCAACTCAAACTCCAATAAGCATCCCTATTTATTAAGAAATGTTTGACAGTCAGAAAGAGTACTTGCCATTCATAACACCAAGAATAGAATCGACACTCCCAACGTGTTTGCACATCAAGCAGAACCATCAAGATTCTGGCACCACAGCCAATCACTATGCATGACCCTTAGGAGCAGCAGGTGAAAAGCCTCAGTAAAATGGAGAGCTTATTCCATTCTCAATTTGGAAACTTGAAAAGTGCAAAGTCAACGCCAGGGTCACAGCTTATACACATTCAGACTGAGGCAGCCAAAAGAACCCCCAACTTGACTTAAGTTAAGGCTGCAGTAGACAACTCTGCTGTTAGTGACATTTTTATTTGCTCAGAGTTCACTTTGCAAAAAGCCCACACTGCTAAGCCATCCCATCTCACTATCCTTACTAACACCTCAACAATGTCTTAGAGCAGCTGAATGTGTGCCAACCTCAGTAGTTTACCCAGCAAAACCTCCTTCTGCAAGACAAGAAAGATTCTCTCTATTCCTTGATTCTTTCATGTTGGAACACAGCAAGTCCTTTCATAATTCTTTGGTCTTGGTACAATTTATTCATGGAGAAAACTCTGGATTTTAAAAAGCATGCATTTTATTTTTATACACACACACTTTCTTTTTTAAATAAAGTATGCATGGCAGATATGGCACACCAAATATAACAGCTTGGTTAAGAACTATAGCAGCCATGCCAAGAATGAACCAGAACCAAGACACTGGAAAAACAATGCATTCTAGATATTTTTTTAAATGAAAATTTAATGTATGCAAACATCTAAAATTCCTTCAAGAAATACTTTCTAAAACTTACAGGAAGTTCTTTGCTAAGTCAAACTGATTAAAAGAGAAAGGCTGTTTACCTTGTAACCTTACACACATTCTTAGTTCGAAACAGCATTCACCCTGTACGCAAGCGCAAGAGGCATTCAAAGACATGTCATGGACAAATGCATTGCCTTATTTGAAAGCAGTAAAAAGTTTTAAATGTCACATAGATAAAAAGACAGTATAATTACATGTGCATAGCAGGATGACTGGATTATAAATTAGTTTTTCTTTCATTCTTCATAATTATGGTCATTTACCATCCACTGTTTAACTATACAAGATCCTAAAACTTTACTTACAGCTACTATTGGACTTAGAATTTTAGTAAGTACAGACACCCTGCATATTTATCTTCCTTGACAATTATGTGCTAAAGGATTCATTTCCATGGTGATGCCTGCTGGTTGGCTGTTTAGACAGTGAGAAACAGTCTGAAGCCAAACAGATCTGAGTTTGGATCCTGCCCCTGACACTCCTGAGCTGTGTAACCCTGGCCAACCCCAGATCTGAACCTCAGTTACTCAACTCTAAAACAAAAATGAAAAAAATCTGACATATTGTGACGACCAGAATTAACACCGTCCAGGCTATATGCAGGCTCCTCAACTAAGGGTAGTTGCCGGCATCGTGTCTATTAATATTTACACAACGTATCAAACCTTAGAAATCCCAAACTGCCCTGTAGATTTTAAAATATACAACTAGAATAATCTCTCTCACTGAAGATAGTTCTGTTTTACCAAATATATGATTTATTTAAAAAAAAAAAAAAGAAGAAAGATATTCAGGACAATAAACTGTAGCCCATAAATAAAACGTGACCTTCATCCCCCTTCATTGAGCCCATTTAAGACTCCATTATAAATGTGCACTATAACTTTGAACCAATTAGTGGTGATATTCTTAAAGCTCATGAGACTGGAATATATCTTCACAAATGCTTGCCTTGCTCCAGGTCAATGTAACCAAGTGTCTTTCTTTTATATCTCCCAAATTTTCATCTTCCTGTGTTGTTTTTCTGGGCCTAATGTCTTTTGGCGAGGGGGATATGTCTCAATCTCATTCTCTCTCTCCCCCTCATCTGTTTCATTTTCTCTGCATGTGTGTGTCCTCCCATTTTTAATTTTCTCTATTTTCTCCAGTAGACTGGAAAGTACTGAGATATATGTTGACATCACTATTTTTATTCATCAAGTGGAAACTATGTTCTAAATTGGGATATGAGAGGGTTTCCTCTTTAAAAACCTCATTTGAGTTGTACTTTATCAGAAGTTCTCTCCCTCAGTCGGTGTTGCTATGTTTCTTTGTTACTCTGTTATAACTAGGGACACAAAGATCATAGAAGCTAAGTGCCGATCAGAACATATTAAATAATGTAAGCAAGAGAAATGTGGAAATTTATAAAAATCTGGTTTCCATACACCTTTTCAAGTATATATGAGTCATATTTCACACACTTCTTTTGGGAATGGGGCTATCAATTGCTTATTACAAAGTGAAGAGAAGGTTAGTGCTCCTATTTTACAGATGAAACATAAAGGCAGAAGGGACTTATGTGATATTTTTTTTTCAACTTAAGTACATATTTCCCTTATTAATCACATAGTAATAAAACACTTCCCATCGTGATGACAGGACATCAAAATGTAAAAAAAAAAAAAAAAAAATCGTCATGTAATTGAGCTCAGGAGTTTAAAATCAAAAAATTCTCAACCTTCCTTTCCAAATCAAGGACCTCTGTTATCCACCAAGAAACGAATGTTTCACGAAGCAAGGGGACTTTAAAGTAGATAAACTCTTGCCACACCCACCCCTGGGTTGTTGCTGGGATGCTCTTGTACTATTGACTAAAATAATCATGTCTTAGTGCTTCCCAGATTTCTACGCACAGTCATGAGCAGTGAACTCCAGCCCTGTCCACAGTCAGCTCAGCAGCCACTGAAACTAATTATTCAATTGTGTTTTCCATCATCGGCCTAAATAGATTCTTTGCCATGAGCTGTGAAGTTAAAAGTCACAGAAAGGAACTTTGCTCAAAAATTTCATCTTCACAGTCCTGGAAAAGTGTGGCCCCAAATGAGAGAGCCCTGTGGACGCCGTGGAGGGGTGCGGAGGGCTGTATGGAACCTCAGCTATCAGATTCTCAGCGCGGCCTCATGCCCTCTTGCACCACACTCAGCAGGTAAGGTGACTTTCGATGCAGAAGTGGTGGCTGCTGACTGGTGATATCACTTTGAGTCTGAAGTTTGGCCAGTGCCAATGGCCTGAGAACCATCCCACGGCTTCAGTTCCAATTCCACAACCACAGAGAATTTCTGGACAAAAGGATTTTGTCTTTATCCACAGTTACAGGAATCTACAGTTCCGCAACTGAGGAATATACATAGATAATTACGAAACTACATCTTGATAGATTTCCAACTTGCAATTGTCCTAGATACCCGAACTAGCTGCCCATAGGCCAGGGGAGAGTCTCCAGCCATATGTCCTCAAGATCCAGATTTGTTTCTGAGATGTCGCTGGATTCCTCCCACCTAGAATCTTCTGGTAGGAGCTAAATGAACCAAACCCTAACTAAATTTAACTGGCTAATTGCACCTAAATTACAGTCACAAAGCCCCTTCAGAAGATTCAGTCAATTTCTTGAGGGAGAAAGTAAATGTTTTACTATATAATTATAAACTTAATTAACATAAAATAAATTAATTAGGGACTTGCGCTGGTAATGAACACCACGGTATGCTGTTACTTGCTATATTTTCCAGCGGAAGCTAAACCTGGAGAAAAAGGCTAACTTGTGCTTTCAGCCTAGTTTCATCTCACCTCTTCTACCCCCAACCAAACCGTTACATTTCTGGTTGATATGCAGTAACACGACATCTAGAATTCCACAGAATTCACATTGAGACAGTCATGTGCTAATCTCTAGGAAAAAAAAAAAATCTCCAACCTAAACCATCATAGCTAAAACAGTTCCTAGCTGGCAGTTCACTAAAATAACAGATGATTATCCAAAGCAATAGTTTCTCTGTCCCAGAGTATAATGACAAAACTCACCTAGAGCCGAAATAACCATCTGCCACAGATTGTTCCGCATGGTTTGCTTGCTTGTTTGTTTTTTAATTCTGAGAAAGAATTCAAAAATGGTATTGGCAAAGAGGGATGATTTCACAAAAATGACCCAGTTTCCAACCTGTACTGCCTCAACTATTGCCTGAAAAATTTTCTCTGACTTAAGAGGCCCAGTAAAGGTGCCTCTGAGGATGATCTTGATGGCACAAAGTAGGTTTTTGGTGAATGAAAAGAATCCTGTTCTAATTTTCCAAATTACCCATAATTTCTAGGAACTCCAAACTGTTGTTTCCTCCTCTGATTTCTGTGAAGATGGAGAGCAGCTGCTGTGTCTGACCCACAGTGAGGTAGAAAGAAGGCTAGAAAATGCAGTGACTAGTGTGACCTTGGGCAAATTGCCTCAGTGTCCTCATCTGTGAAATGGAACTAATGACAGCACTTAATTTGGGGCTACCGTGCAGATTAAATAAGCTATAAGATTAAATTAAATACATATAAAGTGCTTAAAAGAGTGGCACATAAAACGTGTTCGATGAATATTAGCTATTTCCATTATCTGTAGACTCTACCTCTCAGCTTTTGTCCCTTTGAAATAGCTAATGTTTCACATTCAAAAAGAGTTGCAAATGTTTAATTGACAGATCTGTTTTGCTGGACACCCTGGTCAACACATACCCCAAATGGAAAAGACAATTCAGGGCTGAGATTGTGAATAAAAAGAATCCTCTTGTTTCATATAAGAAATGATCCATGTCATCATTGAATCAGAGAACTTTAGTACAGAAAAGAAAAGCTGAGACCCTGTAGCCCAGGGGTCCCCAACCCCTGGACCCCTGTGAGAGACCAGGCCACACAGCAGGACGTGAGAGGCTGGCTAGAGAGCAAAGCTTCATCTGTATTTGCAGCCACTCCCCAGCGCTGGCATCACCACCTCAGCTCCACCTCAGACTATCAGGCATTAGAGTCTCATAGAAGCACTGGACTTGGTGCCAAAAAAGTTGGGGACCATAGCTCCAGTGTAGCCTGTGCACCCAGTCAGTCTCTCTCTCTCTCATTTGAGAAAGAGGAAGATAAATTTCCACGAAGGAGGAAGATAAATTTCCACAAGCTTGAGTGACTTGCTCAAGGGCACAAGGCCAGCAAAGAGCAAATTCAGAGGCCCTGTTGCTGTGCTGGCTATAGACTCAGAGCTGGAATGAGGTGTCAACATGGTGAGAACATCTCTCATGACAGGCAGAACCAAAGACAGAAATGGAAGCAGTTGTTTTTGATAGGAAAACAAACGTCCTAATGGCTCTGGTATGGGAGTTGTGAATGCATTTCTGCTAATGTACCCACATATTTTATTTTATGTTTATCTAAACATTAAATTGATTTCCACATGGAGAGGAAACAGAGCTCGGTCACTGTGTTCAGCTGTCAGAATCACCCATGATTACTTATGCAGGGGCTGGCAAACTTTTCCTATGAAAGGCCACAGGGTAAATATTTTCAAATTTGTGGGCCATACAGTCTCTGTCACAACTACTCATTCTGCTACTATACCACAAAAGCAGCCACACAATATAAAAAGGAATGAGCTGGCTATGTTCCAATAAAACTTTATTTGTTAAAAACACAACGGGTCAGATTTAACCCACAGACTGTAGTTCTCCGATCTTTAATTAATGCACCGCCTGCCTGATGTTTTTGCCTTATATCCCTTACCTTTTCTCAGCTATGCTTTCTCCATAAATGAATGTTCATACTGTTTCAATATTCTTACCAAGATATGATCGATATGCAGTAGAATCTAATTTATTGTACACGAGAAAGGAAAGCCAACATGAATTTATGAAATCTCTAAATTAAGAAATATGCTTAAAGAAATGCAGTTTTATTACTTTCATATACATATAGGAATTGAAATTAAGCCAATAAAATATTTCCAGCTTGTTTTGGCAAGTAGGGGGTAATTTAGACTTACCCAAAAGAAAAGAACTTAAAATTATATAATTCATCAACTATTTTCATGAGATTTCTTCCAAAGGGATTTAAAAGTTTGTTCCCTAAAATGGTGAAACATGATTCCTATCACCCCATTCTGTTTCCACCATTACTTGATTTGGTACTTCCTTTGTTCACAGAAGATGCCCAAATACTCCATCAAACCAATTCCTCACTGAATTAATGATCTGCATCAGCAAGAGTTTTTTTAGCTTTCGGAAAAGCTAAATGAATTGTAATCCTATGACGTCATAGATTAACACCATCTTTCAAACAGCTTTACTGCTCTCTCTCTAAGGTCCTCTATCTGACCAGACACTGTGAGCTGGTTATTCAAAATCCACTCACAATCCCTTAGTCCCTTGCTTCTTCTACCTTTGAGGGAGAAAAGCCAATATACCTGATTTCCCAGTATCCCCTGAAGCTAAGGGTGGGCATATGACATAATTCTGGCCACTGAGATATAGCTAGAGTCCAAGAAGTGGGTTACTCTCTTCTTAAATTAAAAAGCAAAACTTCATCAGAGAAAGCCTCATTGTCTTCTTTCCTTCTTTCTACTCAGGATGTAGATTTGACATCTGGAGGAAATGCAGTCACCTTGAGACCACAAGGTCACAAACATGGGGAATGCCTACTTGCTAAGGATGGAAGAGAAAGGTGGAAAGAGCCAGAGTGTCTCTTATGGGATCATTAAGCCACCATAATAGCCTTGGATCCAGAAATTTTTGCTGTGTGAAACAAATAAACTATTTGTTTAAGTGGTTGTTTTTGCTTGCTTACTGTTGCAGCCAAAACAATCCTAAGCAACACAATTCAGGGAAGCTTTGGGCTTATTTCTGTTATTCCAAGGGTGTGAGGGAAACGGAGGGAGAAGAAAGGGAGAAAGAGAGAATGACTCTAAACTAAAGGGTCTTAACTACTACCAAGGAAAAGTATCAGCTTTCAAGTGACACTGTGGCATCTGTGTGGCACCTGGAACTTTTTACGATGGCCCATGTTATAATAATATGGGGATGCGTGGGGAGCCAGGGCAGAAATTTCCTAAGGACAGCCATACTTGTGACCCCAAAGAGCCATGAGGAACAGCCAAACATGCCCCATGCCTCTGAAAGGATCACAGAAGTGAGCCCGAGAGAGAGAAGGTACACTAGTTTCATGAGCAAGATTGCTGTGCCATTTCGTTAGCCAATCTGAACTGCTTTTTTAATCTATTTACTCTCTTTCCCAGAGAAGAAATTAAAGAACCATCAGTAGCCTTTGCCTTGTCCCATAAACAAATACACCAATGGCAAGACAAGGATGCCATTCTGAGGTGCCTCATTACTAGTCAACTTCTCCTTAATCTCCTTTCTTGCAATTTGGTATTTTCATACATACAATGCATCCTCTTCCTCTCTTTTTACTTCTCTCTCTCTCTCTCTCTCTCTTGCCCACCCCCCACCCCAACATGTGGTTTGTATCTACTGCCAAATGCTGCAGGCAAAGGATAAATTATGCCTACATATAGACTAGATATCTTCAGTTCCCTGACAGATACATGTCACCATCTGAGACCTCCAAAGCTCCTTGCTGGACTTATATCACCGAACATGAAAACATGGTGACTTGAGCTTGTGCGGAATCAACTGGGTTATTGGAAATCTCTCCATGCTCCCAGCAGAGGCCAGCACAGTTTTCTGTAAAGGGCCAGGTCAGAATGATACCCAGCTCTGCCGTTTATATGGTCTCTTCCTAATGTAATCACTCTCATCTCTGCTGTTTTAGCTCAAAAGCAACCATAGAAAATACCAACAAATAGATGTGGCTGTGTTCCAATAAAACTTTATTAACAAAACACAGATTTGGCCCACAAATTCACTGACTCCTGTTCCATAGTTATTTCTGTGGGCCACAACATGAAAGTTAGTTGTTCTTCCCTCCCTCTGAAAAAGAATGAATAGAAATTCATTCCCATTAAAATGGCTCAACCGGTATAATATAAGCTTGCATATATGCTGCACATCAAACATCTTCTGGGAAAAAAACATTCAAAACCTTATTTCATAAAATTATCATCGTTGTGACTGGGGAAACCAATGCCTAGGGCAAACAAATGGGCCTGAAGCAGCACAGCATTTGTGGGACACAGCTGAAAGAAGATTCCTGGTGGCCACACTCACTATCCCCAACTTCACCACGTGAAAAATGCCGCCTCTCAATTAGCAGAGCAGAAATAGTAGTACTTTCATAATGACTCACACTGCAATTTAGGTCATGCCTACGGCAATCAATAAAAATCCTCCACTTAGATTCTCCATGGTTAATTTGATCCCCCCACCGCCCCTAAACTGGGAGATTTTTTTTTTTTAGTTGTTTTCAATTAAGCTAATTTGTCACAGACACCTCTGTTCTCAATAGGGTATTTTCACCCAATTCTCTTTTGTTTTGAAAATAGCAAAGTGGGCGAAATGCATGTGTACATGTTAAACTCAAATCACTATAGTTTGTGCAAAAGTGACTGTAAATAAAAGAGAGACCTCTTAGTAATCACTCACACACACACACGCGCGTGCGCACACACACACACATACTGTAAATAAAAGAGACCTCTTAGTAATCGCTCACACACACGCGCGCACACACACACACACACATCAGCTGCCTTCTTTCATTGTCTCACCATGCACATTTTGTACACACCCTTGAGTGAGTGAAATGATAGACCCTGATGGTGGCAATGCTGATGGTGACGAAAGCTACACATTATTAAGCATCAACTACAGGATGGACAACATGGGAAGCATTTCACATATGTCATCTCAAATCCTCATGACATTTCTGCTCTCCCTGTTTACAGGAGAGGAAATGGAGGCTCAGGGGAGTTATATATTATCTATTTTATAGGAAGAGTACGGGACACTGAGGTCAAAAGATAGCTCAGAGTTCAAATCTCCAACCTACTAATTTGTGATCTTGAGCAACTTTCTTAACATTGGATAAGGCTAGATGTTCTTCACGTCTAAATGGTGATAATTACATTTTCTTTAAAACTGTGTTGAAAGAATCAAATAAGGTATCTATAAAGCTC